AAAAATATTTATTAAAATAAAATTATATTTTCTTTGTTTTATTTATTTAATTATGAATAAATATACAAGATAAAAAAAATTTTTAAACAATACATTCTGAATCACTAACTAATATAATATTTAACAACAAATTTAAAAATCAATCTTCCAAATATTTTAACCATTCTTTATCTGGATCATAATCTAATTCATCGTCAGTCTCTTTTTCAACTTCCTGATAAACAACTTCTTCTTGATAAACAATTTTTTCTTCCTCTTGTTGTTGAGAAATAACTTCTTCTTTTTCTTGTTGATAAACTTCTAAATCGGTACTAACCGATTCGTTAACTTTATTTAAAACATCTAGTTCATATAAACTTTAATAAATCTCAAATGATTTGTCAAAATATGCGTTAAAATAAACATAACGCTCGACTAATTCTCTAATAGAAGAATTTCTATTTTCTAATTCTTTTTGTAAATTAGAAATAATTTTCAAATACGTTTCTTCTTTTCTTTGATACTTTTTCTTTTTATCATCCAATTTTTTATCTCGTTCTTGTAAATCCAATCTAAGTTTTTTAATCTCCTTACAAGATTCATTATAAATTTCTTCTTTAACATATATTCTTTTCAAAGACATTGTATTTAGTTTAATTGTTTGTGAGTTTTCAAGTTTAAAAGAAAATTTACATTCTTTAGACATTTAAGATCAAAAAAACCTCAACATATATAAAAAAAAATAAGCTTAAAATGATTGGTACGATTTTAGAATTTAGATTAATAATCCTTATCAAAAAATTCTTAAATTCTTATGGAAAATCTTTTTACAATTTAGGAATTTCCTTTCATAGAATAAATTAACAGAAAAACTTTTAAATTCTTTAAATGAAATACATAATTAAAAAACTATAAAATAACATGATAAATAAATTAAAAATTAAAGAAAAATGCGTAATACACACAAAATCCGCAACTACTTTCATAGTAATACTCTTAAAACAAGACTTATTTGCAACGAATATAAAGCTAATTATCCTATCAATACAAATTTATCGAATCTTAAAAAACATTTTGCTAACCATCATCAAACCGAATATAATTTAGCTATGGAAAAAGAAAAACAAAAAAATAATAAAAATAATTTAATACAAAATAATAAAACTTTAATTTTTTCTAAACAAATCGAAGAAATTGAAGAAATTGAAGTTATTGCAACAGGACAAACATTACTACCCGTTCAACAACAACAAAAAAAAAGAAAAATCGAAGATAAAAATGATCATATTCATAAAATTAAAAATATTAAATCTGATAATGATTATTGTAGTGTTAATATTGATAACAAAGGAAATATTAACATTGTAGGAAAATGTATTATTAATTTCGAATAGTTTTTTTCTTTTTTCTTTGTGCTGTATTTATATATTTATCAGTATTATTTATATTTAATAAAATAACTTTAAAATATTTATACCTCTCGCCTTTATTACATCAGAAACTCATATTTGTTTCCAAATTTTATTATGTTTTGTGATAAAATGTTTTTTTAAAGTATTCAATAAAGGATCTTTGTATTTTTGTTTACAATATTCACATTCGAAATAATTTTCAGAACATGAATTAAAATGATTCCAAATCGGATGTGAGTTTATTCTTTTCATCATTAAAAATAAATTTTATTAAAATTGTTTAATGAAATTAAATAATTATTTACTGTAATACAAATAACTATTTTTATTATTAACCAATCAGATTTAAGGTCAAATATTTTAAATAACCATACTTTCAAACCATTACCAACCAATCAGATTTAAGGAGTATTTTCAAATATTTTGAATACTTTTAACGAATATTTTGAATACTTTCAAACCATTACCAATCAATCAGATTTAAGGAGTATTTTCAAATATTTTGAATACTTTCAACGAATATTTTGAATACTTTCAAGCCATTACCAACCAATCAGATTTAAGGAGTATTTTCAAATATTTTGAATACTTTCAACGAATATTTTGAATACTTTCAAACCATTATCAACCAATCAGATTTAAGGAGTATTTTCAAGTATTTTGAATACTTTTAACATCATTTAAATCTAAACCTTTGTTATCTAAACTAGTTTTTCTAAAGTTATGAATACTATATTTTTTTTAAGAATTAATAGAATAAATTTTTGTTCGTTTAGTTGTTTTTCTTTTTTTTACAGGATCGTAATAAATAACATATTTTC